CTACCTTTTTTACTGCTGTAATTAAATAGTCTGTAATTACTTCCTGAGATTTTCACCTATGGTTTACTGCACAAGATCTGTTTAAAATTTATTTCAAAGGTTGACTTTACAGCTACTTAAATAACTGACAGTTCTTGTTACGTAATCTGACAGTTAAACAGGATAAACAAACAAACCTTGGTAGATTGTGAGTTACGGGTTGTGGGTGGAGGTTAGCTCATTTGATACATTGTGAACATGTATTCTGTGTTTTAATATCTAATAACCCAACAGCTTTCTTTATCATTCATATTTGCACTGGTTTAGCTGTTTTCCATAATATTTAACCGTATTTTGTTCTCACAACTAGTGTGTTTAGAGAATGTCTTACACAGGTCATGATAATTGCATCATGTGTTTCTGTACCTGTTAAATTGGCTATCACTATGAAAACTTGGGCAGCAATCAAATTACTGTCTTATGTCAGAATAAGACAATAGTCCTCTTTTTAAATATCAAAGTTAAGATCTACAGTGAGAAGGGCTGTGTATGATTTTGATAGTTAAATGAGTACTTTGTGAATAATCATTCCATCTTTATAATACTAGAAAAAAACTAAAATCTCTAACTGGTGCCCATATACTGCAACTTTGCATGTTTATTGAGAAATACTGTTGAGTCAGTGGTACTCAGTGGTATTGAGTTGAGGCCCTATGCTCTGCTGTTTTCTTAGAAAACCTCTCTCTCTCTCTCTCTCTCTCACACACACACACACACACACACATATGCATTGCTGCTTCCCTCGCTCATGTCTCTTGTCAATGATGCATCCTTGTTTTTTTATTTAAAATAAAAACTCATGGCAGCCCCGATACAACTTCATTATTATCTTGGGAAAAGTAACAGTAAAATAACAAAGTAAATGTTGTAAACCATTGTGTAAAACACCACAAAAGCATTATACAGAGGTGGGGTTGGGCGAGTATACTTCCTCCAGCTGCTTTTCAACTTTGTTTCCTCATTCATGTTTTTTTCTAGTACTGCAAACCATTTTAATTGCTGCTTGTGCAAATATTGAACAATTGATAAAATATTACAATATCTTAAACTGTATGGCTTATATCATTTATTTACTTGTTTATTATTAAATTTTTATGCCACCCATTTTCCTTATAAGATGACTCTAGTGATTATCAGTATTTACAAAATAACCACCTCACTGTTTGGCTTTAAATAGGAACTACCCTTTTATTTTAAATATATAATATAGTTCTTTCAAATATTTGATCAGAGGTTTTACAATTATGAACACTGGAGTCCTCAACAAAGGGGGGGGAAAAATCAAAATTTTCCATCTGATATTTCTACATCAATGTGCAGAATCATACTGGAAGTTTGTTATATTTACCATTGAAATTTATATCGAAGTATATGTAATTTCATTGCCATCCAAATGTTTCAAGAGTCTTTGAATGACCTGTATTCAAAAAGATTACCAGTAGTTCTCAACTTACAACAGTAATTGTTCAATGTTACAACAAAGTTACTACTGAGAAAAGTTACTTATGATCGTTTTTCATGCTTACAATCGTTGCAGCACCTTCTGGTCACCGGATCATAATTCAGACGCTTGACAATTGACTCCGTTCTATGAGAGTTGCACTGTCCCGGGGTCATGTGATCACCTTTTGTGACCTTCTGACAAGTAACGTTAATGGGGAAGCCAGATTACTTAATAACTGTGGTGAGAAAGATTGTAATATGGAGCGCAACTCACTTAACAACTGTCTTGCTTTAGCAAATTGTGGACATAAGTCAAGGACTATCTCTAATTAATCTTTGAAGGAGGAAAATTCACTTTTGAACTACCTTCTGTAGTACTGACATCTTTCATTGTTGAAAGATATAATCCTGCCTTGTTGCACTTTCTTGTCATTGGGCACAAGAAACAATGATGTAGCCTGAGTTAGTATAAAGATTCTCCTCTTTCAGCTACTTTACTGTTTCTGTTTGCCATTCTCTATCTGGCAAGGCTAATATACTTCCAGATTTATTTCACTGGAAGGTAAACATTTCTGTCCTCCAAGGTACCTGAAGCCTGTGACTAGTATTTATAAGAGCAGTGAGCTGTGATAATGGGCCTTACCAGCCACCCCATATTTAGGAAAGACATTTGGGTAGGAAACTATGTGATTGGCTCTTCAAGAATACCACTATATTGGATAAAAGCCTGGAGACTGGTGTATTCCTCAAATAGCTGCATTAAATGACTTTCACTGATATCTTCTGCAATTAGTACTAATGAAAATGAGGTGGCTTTCTGCAGGCCTCACAGCTCTTGGGATCCAACACTATGTATCTAAAAAAAAAAAAATCTGGAGGCAGCCTGGTAGCAGATTCACATAACTGCTTTCAGTTTCTCGGTGCAGTAATTGGTGGTTGTGGTTAGCACTGAGTTATGGGGTTAGATATTCTGTTTTTCATAGTGACTTTTCAACAATCTCATGGGCCGCTAGCTTATCTCCTTGGAGTACAATAGCCATATAACATCAGTGGAACAATTTAATCTGCTTGTTTCCCAAACTACCTCTAAAGTCTTCTTCTCTTCCCCATTTTTTTCTTCATTTCTAATTGTAAGGTAAAGGTAAAGGTTCCCCTGCACGTACATGCTAGTCGTTCTCGACTCAAGGGGGCGGTGCTCATCTCCGTTTCAAAGCCAAAGAGCCAACGCTGTCCAAAAACGTCTCCATGGTCATGACTAAACCTTTGGCGCATGACTAAATGCCAAAGGTGCACAGAACGCTGTTACCTTCCCACCAAAGGTGGTCCCTAATTTTCTGCTTGCATTTTTACATGCTTTCAAACTGCTAGGTTGGCAGAAGCTGGGACAAGTAATGGGAACTCACTCCGTTACACGATGCTAGGGATTCAAGCCACCAAACTGCCCACCTTTCTGATCAATAAGCTCAGTGTCTTAGCCACTGAGCCACATCTAATTGTACTTCTGTACTAGTGTTAAATTACTTAAAATGTTTCAAGGAAGCAGACTCAGTGCAAAAGGTAATATGAGAAGATTTGACCACCTTCATTCCCTGCTAACTCCAGGAGACAGAGAAAATTGCTTGACAGATTTTATTCATCCCCTCCTATAATACAGTTATTAATACATGCTATGACTCTATTCCAGTCAAAGATGCCATTGTTATTTTATATATTTTAATACATGCTTTATAAAAGGCTTGGAATCTTGGATACCATTTAGATCAGTGTTTCTCAACCTTGGCGACCTTAAGATGTATGGACTTCAACCCTGGAATTCCTCAGACAGCATCTTTAAAATATTTAAGCTATTTACTTCTGATATTATTATAAAAATAATAAAAATAATATTGTCTTCCTTTAATGATTAAAAACATTCCATATTTACAGTCTTTGGTTCCTCTGGGTAAATATATTCTAAAGTAACAGATCATTGGATATTAAAAATGCAAATATTTATTACAAGTATTTTCATACCTTGATAATAAATGATTTTTTTACTGGGAAGTCCTGTTTAGTTTTGTGGAACTTATTCCAGGTAAATGATATGAACTTGCAATCTTACGATCATGCATTGCCCTCTCTCCCTGTTGCCCTTCCAAGCACCTCAGAATTTGCTCTGCATTTGGAGGGTCTCTCAGTTTTTATAAAGTAGGGGATTCATGTTGGGTGGTGGAGAATCTCATCTGTAATGAGTCTATTTTTATTGGTGGAAGGACATAACCAGATGCTAATATTTAGCAGAGTTGTTATTCCTAAATTGAAAAGAACAAACGTTTATCTTTGCTTTTTTAAAATACATATTTCTGTTCTCATGGGAAAAATTCAGAAAATACCATTGTAATTGAATCTGCCGCAATTGACTATTAGGCCAAGCTAATAGCTTCAAGAGTGAACACCAACACAATTACAATTCTGTCTTCATTATAATTAGTGTTTTTCTGGTGAGGCGTCACCAACTTAAAGTAATAATTCATTTCCAAATATGGTACAGTAGGTTGCCCAATTCTGAACATCATGGTTTAGCCTTACCATTTGAATTCCTATGGAGATTTTTTACTCGTAATTCAACATTCAGAAATTTTGTTTTTGACTCTAGATTTGTTATGTTTCAACACTCTTTCATAAGCAGTTAAGTGTCTAATAGTAACTACTATTGCATTAATTCATGCTCAGTACTAATTCCTATTGCATAAGAATGTAATTGTCAAATAAATATCAACTGGTATCAGATTACTCATAGATTACAAGTGTTCTTTCAAGCACTGTAATACATTTAATACGTTTGTAAATCAGCAAATGCAGTTCTGTCCGTTATATCAGTGGAGCTTTTTACATTTTGTATAAAAGTTGACTTTATCTTTGATTTAGCATATATTCCTCAGTATCAAAGTCTTCCAAAACAAGACTAAATAGTAATAGTAATTAATACAAAGATGCTACAGTGCATGTTACTCCCATCAAGTTTCATAGTGATGGCAGAAACAGCTAAATTTCTGCTGGTCGTGTGGCATATCTCATACCAAGTATCAAAATGAAGTTTATCCACACATAAGATATCCTACACATATCCAGTATCCGCAAGATGAGATTCCCAGAATCTCCCTGGTAACATGGTATTTTGTAGGGGTAGGTCCAACATACTTGGAAAGCATTGGATGCAGATGTTTGATACCGAGGCATCCAGAATGATGGAGTTTTTGGGAAGCAGGCTGTAATAGTCAACATTGTTGCTTTATGACTTATTGGTGCATGAACAATCTTCCTGCATGCTGTAAAGAAATGGAAGTCAACCAATGGTAGGTTTCCTCCCCATCATCATGCCAAATTCACATCTGGAAAAATAACCAAAATGCAGTCCCTCCCCTTTCACCATTTGAAAATGTCAATCAAGGGTGTGTGTTTTTTCCTACTGTTTTTTTTAAAAAGCATCGGGCAAATCCTTGCAATTTTATTTATGACAATATTGATGTCATTTCCAGTTACAGGCTGAACTTGATCAAGAATATCAAGACAAATTCAAAAGACTGCCACTGGAAATCTTGGAATTTGTTCAAGAAGCGATGAAAGGCAAAATCAGTGAGGACGGAGATCACAGCTCTACAACTTCTTCCCTGGCATCCGATGGTGGGAAATTGAACCACAAACCACTGCAAAATGAAGAGCTAGAAGATAATCCAGGAAAAGTGTTTGATACACCTCTCTAACAGCTTCCACAAAGACACCGATCTTAAATTACTCTGACAGAGCAAGTTACCATGCTGTTCCCCAGGAATGTTCCTGTTTTTGAATGACCATTGGGCAGCTTCAAATATGGAAGACCTCTATTGGGATTGTACTAATTTCTAAAACAAATGGGTTGGGTATGGAAATTATATCCTATTTGTAGGCCTTGTTTTTCTTTTTAGTTTAATGGCATAAACTAAGAGGTCAGTATGTCTCTGGCCATATTTACACCAGTCATTTTTAAACTACGAGAAGGCTGGAGCATTCTTTGGGGACCAGTATGTTTTGTGCAGGTAAATGTGTTTCCACCTCTTTATGAAACAGGAGTGACACAATATTCCACCCACAGTTATCACAGTATCTGTAATTGTTTGTTTCTTCCTTTGCAACTACATCTTGGAAGCTTTTGTCATCTTAACAATGGCACTTTGAGAAAAAAAAACATTTTTTTTCTTTAGCTTTCTGTGCAGTGATAGTTGGCTGTGCTGGTTGTGTCTCGACAGAGAATTATCAGTGTTAGTTCTCTGTAACTGTGGTAACTACTAGAATATATTCCCAAGCCAAAATCTCTTCAAGACATAATAATGTGATTGATTATACATGCTTCAAATGTGATATGAATTCACATATGTATATGCGCATTCTGTCTCTGCAAATCAAAAGCGCAGGCAAGTTCTTGCTGAACTTTCCCTTCTGCTGGAATTAAAAGCTTTAAGAAAGAGATTCATAACAGTCATCAGAGATAACTGATACTGTTATGAAATAATCGTTGCACAATCAGAATCTTTCATTCAGACGTCTGTAGTACTTTCAAATGTAAGATAGATTCAAGAATGTTGCTTTCAATAACTGGTTTGTGCTATTATATCTTTCCTTTTTTAATCTATGGAACGCACATAGAAATGCCATTTCCCAAGTGTATGGAAATGTACATGTTTCAAATCTAAAATATTTTTTTGGGGGGGGGGGGGGAGAATAAAAGAAATCTGATTAATTTTATCCTTTTATATAGTTAACCTTACAAAAGTTACAGTTCCACCCCCAGCATTCCTTACTGTTCTACCATGTGGATATTACTGAAACACTATAGTTTGTTCTGATAGTGGTAAGGAGTTGGAATACATAACAGCATATATGTAGTTTGTTTTCCCTCAGGAGCTCAGTAAAAATAACTTATTTTATTTAATTGCAAGCAATAAATAGAGATCAAACAAAATAGAAATTGAATTAAATGCTAAGTGTACATAGGGAAACTAAAATTTTGGCTAAACAGTATTTTTTTTTTCATTATTTACATCATGCATGAAGAAATGTTGCACATTGTTAAGAGTATATAAAAGATAAACTGCTTACATTTTATGGAGTAATTTAGAGGATATAATGGAAATGAAAAAATTTCATTTTGATTTTAAGAAGATGACTCCTTTCATTTATTCTACTTTTGCACTTTGAAGATCAATATTATTAATCATTAAATATAAAAACCTGGAAGGGTCAAACTTTAATGCTGCATTTTCTAAGATAAAAGTTAAATAAATTTGTTTCAAGTTAGACAGGCTACAACAATCCAGTATTGATAACAGTTCTATAGGTATTTCTTTGCCATGCTTGTATACTGCAGTCTCAGACAAGTAGGAGAAACTCTGATAAGCTTTTTAATTTATGATGTAAAGTTACCAAGTTAATGGTTGACAGAGTTTTCAGTACATTTGTAACTGATCATTGACTGTACTTACTTTTTTAATATCTGTACAGTGCCCCTTTTTGCAGTTGTAGTTTTAGTGTGTAATATTGTATATCTTGCATTGTTAAAACTTGCAGTAATACATCATTTATCATGAATATTACTTGAAATAAAGTAAGGTAATGAAAAAGGAGTCTATGATGTGAGAGTCTTGTGCCTTCTATGTATTTGCCTTGTTATGTGTTAAACATGTCAAAATAATCTACTGTGGACATTTTGCTATAGAGAATAGAGCTGCATTGAATTACATTGGGCTCCACTGTACACTTCAGTTACACTACTGAGAATTGTTTTAGCAGCTTACAACAGACCTTCACACAGAGAATTTGGACATTTTAACTGTCAACATGGTTGTGAAAGATTTCTTTTAGATAGGGCTTGCTTTCATTTGAAACTAACATTATTGAACATTGGTATAAATAATGTATGTGATTGGCTGATTGGAAATAGTGGTTTTGCTTTCACTTAGAAAAAATAATAATTTAACATGTATATAATTTAATTTTTCAGCCTTTAGATGCAAAATTCACATTTTTTTGTAAGAACCCTATGCAATTTTGTGGCATGATGTTTCCTCCACTTGTAATTTATGTGCTTTCATCACAGAGGCAAATAAAATTTCTTAACATTATCTGTACTTATTGTCATAATTATCCAGATCCTAAGCATCTTGGTGTTAGAAAATGTTTCCTTTTACTGCACAGCTGGGGGACCGTTTTGTGTTTATTTCATGTTAGGAGCTGTGTTGAAGTTGCCAACAAACCTAGCCATTGTTCGTCATGAATTTAGAGGAAACTTCGCCAAAAAGTATAATCAATTTTCATGTAGCCAAGAACCTTAGTTTATTGCTTGAGGCTTGCAGGGGCTGTGGGATATTTGGTAACCTATGATTATTTTGCTCTTTAAATCTATCAGTTTCCCCCCCAAAAAAATAATTTAATTTTACTCATGGGCGGGGTTTCTAAGAGTCACAAAAAGACACTAGGGAGATTCCCATATGACACCCTTAATTTTTAAGGGTGCCTACCCTTAATTTTGCCTACCCTTAATTTTTAATAAGTGAAGATGATCTGGTTGCCTCCTGAAATCATGAATCAGAGTTCTTTATTATCAGTCATGGTAACTGTTCTACTAGAAGTCCATGTCCAAGGTAAACTAAGGCTCTAACATCTTCTACAATCAAATCCTGTGCCAATTAATTGTTGTTTGATAGTGAGACAGGCGCCATACAAATTTAATAAATAAATCATATTCTTCAAGATATTCTGAGCAGAAAAGTTGTATGGAGTAAACGGAAAAATCAGTGAGTTTGTCTAAAATCCAACAAGATATAAAGTGGGCACTCAGAAGCTCACTCCTGGATTCACTTTTACTCCAAGCACTAACTGTGTAATGAGAAACAAGTTGAAATTTTGCTATATGATGTCATATTTAGAGAAATGCAAAATTCCACTGAAAAACACTCCTTAAGCATTGGCTTCCATTTAAAGTTAAGCACAGAAAGCAAGGGACATGTCAGCTCTTCAGACTGTAATTTAGCTCTACGTATGCCACAGCATTAAAGATTGATTTTAGAGATGTCTACATTTACTTGTCACAGCTGGAGGTATAGTTCAAGGAATAAGTCTTGTTAAATCAGGCGCAAAGTTTGATCTGGTTTGGCCTTTCCTTTCCTGCAGTGGTTTATCAGAAGATTATGGAAAGCCACAAGCAGAGTTTAAAAGCTGTAGGCTTGACGCATTATTTTCTAGCCAGAAGCCTGCATTGTGCACCTGAAAAATATTTTTGAATTTATCCCAGGATTTTTTAGCCATCATAATTGTTGATTAAACTTATCCTGTATCAAAGATGTCCATTTTCTACACATCACTCTTCAGTACTTATCACTGTAACTTACGTGAAAGAATTCCATTAAGTTAGCTATATTTTTAGGAAGTATTTCCTTCACTATGTGAAACTACTGTTTAATAAAATAGAAACCCTAAGCTTGGATACTGAGGGCATATATTCAAGAACAAAGATCAAGAAGTAGTAAAAAGGGCTGGGTTATTGTTCAAGTACATAAATATTCTCCTTTGCCCATCATGATTCAATCACTACAATGGCAGCCATGGAGAAAGCTTTTTCATTCATGACTTTTATTTCATTCATGCTTCATCTTTTCATCTAACATATTGTCTGGGCATGAGAGACAAAGATCTCAGTGTTTTTGATGTAATTGAATTAGCTCTGGAGAAAACAAAAGCAATCTTAGAACCTACTCAGGGTACATGATAAATTTTCTTTCAAACAGTACTTCCATAGTTCCAACAAAGCATTAGAGGATTTTAATGCATCATACAAGAATTAGAGTGCTTCTTGGTGCCACGGTAATTGACAACAAGATTGCTATCTTACTGGGTAGACCTGCAGCAACCAAGGTCTAAGATACTTGCACAATAAGCGAAAAACAAAAGGAGAAAATTATTTAGCTATACCTAAGTTTTATATGTGGTGGCTCAGTGGCTAAGACGCTGAGCTTATCAATGAGAAAGGTCGGCAGTTCAGCGGTTTGAATCCCTAGCACCACATAATGGAGTGAGCGCCTGTTACTTGTCCCAGCTTCTGCCAACCTAGGAGTTCGAAAGCATGTAAAAATGTAAGTAGAAAAATAGGGACCACTTTGGTGGGAAGATAACAGCATTCCATGTGCCTTCGGCATTTGTTCATGCTGGCCACTTGACCACAGACACGTCTTCAGACAACGTTGGCTCTTCAGCTTTGTAATGGAGATGAGCACTATCCCCTAGAGCCGGAAACAACTAGCACGTATGTACGAAGGGAACCTTTACCTTAAGTTTTATAACGAAGTCCACTACATTGAGCTTCCCAGAGCCTTTAACATGCAAAGCATCCAACATTCTTTCTGCCTCTGTTACATACAAATATTTCCTCTGTTCCCACTGCAAATGTTTTTAAAGGCTCTGATCACCGAGCCTTTTACAGAGAGGCTGTTTTTCCAAAAATGTGGGCTTAATATCCACAGAATGGACTTAATCTAAAAAACATGCTGTCAGTTGTTCTGGAATCATCAGTAAGAGGACTCTATAATTCACACAAGATTAGAGCTTTCCAAGACATCAGTAGCAACTACAAGACCCATCAAGAAGGGCTGATAGAGAGAACAAGAGTAGGATACTGATGGGCACCTAATATGATTGTATGTAGGCGCTCTAGTTCTATATCATTGGAAGTTCTCCCTTTTTGTCCTTAGGCCAAGAAATTCATGTTTTCCAGTTCTAAAATGATTGAGTGAAATATTGTTTTTGTACCTTGTTTGGTACATATTGCTTTTTGTGTAATGGAGACGAGTGCTTAATCCCTGTGTTTGGAATGGGTGTTTTATTCTGATATTTATAAATGCCTTAAAGGTCAGAAATCATATGGAGAAATTAAGAAATCAATGAAAAGTAATGTAGACTTAAATAAAAGAAATATCATTACAAACATCTAAGTTCTTGCTTGACTGGAGATCTCTCTCTCT